TAGCTAGCCGCCGCCAAAGAGAGAGCTCAAGACCCATTCTGCTTGAACAACAGCGCACACACGTTGACCGTTGTTCTCACCGTGCATACATTAAACTATTAAATGTATGAACGAGTCATAAAATAGCTGCAACTTTTTATCGGGAGTTAGACACAGCTAGCCATAAATGTGCAACGCAAAACAGGAAAAAAAAAATAAATAAAATATGCAGGCAAACGTAAAAAATTAACGTGTGTGAAATGTTTCATCTTTTAAAAGTTACTTCACAAATATATATTTAGCAAACGATTTAAAAAGAACATGATTAAGAAAATTGATGCAGCCTAAAACTATCACTTAAAAGATATGTATCTATTTGTTTCTCACGCACTTAAGTATAAATTTAATCTACTCTCATGTGAGAAATGCTTATCAGTTTTAATCTTGTTTCATTTGCAAGCCGTGGGCACATTGGTACATATGCGTGTCTATACATTTGTACCTCTTTTTTTTTCTTTTTTTGATGTCTTTTTTTTTTTTTGCCTAAAATTTCCACGTTTTTTTCACCAATTTTTAACCCAAAACACAAACCAAATAATTAGCACACATTCTCAAGGCTATGTTTAACGACTTTCACACCCTTGAGAAAAAAAAAAATATAATAAAATAAAAACATACATTTTTTTCCTACAAATTTAACACCCTTTTTGAGAAGTTTTTCCATTATTCGCTACAATGAAGAAAATCTTCGTACCAATTTTTGCCTGCCCCCTGATCTTTAACGCTGCGTATTCCTTAAGTCTAAGCAGCGTGAATGAACATTTTTCTGACACTTTGACGAGGGATAATAGTGCCGAAAATGATAATTTAAATTTAATACAAAATAGCCTACCTCACAGAATTAAGCGGAGGTATAACAACAACTTAAGCAATGAATCAGATAGTGCAATGCAACCCGGTGAAAGACACAGAGACAGTTCTGTATATTTAGATTTCACAAATCATAATGCACATGTAGAAGGAGATTCTTCACGCGCTGCTGCTGCAGAGGGTAAAAGCAGGAATAACTTCCACGGTTCACACAAAAATACACCACTTAGCACGGAAAAAAGAACTGTAGATGATGGAACCCCTCAGAGGGCCAAAACGTACGGTAAGTACAGAACTTGGATTACAAAAAGTGAACAAGAACAACAAGCACGTTCTGTTCGAAGTAAAAATGCTGTTAAAAGGAACAGCACTGAGAGGGGATTATCTAGGAAAGGCGCCACACACAGCAAGGTTCAACTAACCAATTTTGAAGACGATATGGATGAAAGCGGGGATGAAGACGATGATTTCCCAAACACGGATGGTGACTTAGGTGATAACTCCATCGACAATTTGTTTGGCGACGATGATGATTTAGATAGCGATTTGGCCGATAATTTATTCAACGATGAAGGCGACAATTTGATGAACACCGATGATGACTTAGGTGATTATTCTACGAACAATCTGCTTAACAGTGAAGAGGATAACTTGATGGACGATTTTTCCGACAATATGCTAAGCGAGAACGGTAGCGACGGCTTGGTGGATGCCGTCCTAGGCGATCTTGGTGATGGTTCTGTTGATAATTTGTTCAGCGATGAGGAAGACAGTTTGGTGTATACCGGTAGTGAAGCGCTTGACAACGATGTTGAGGATAATTTTCTAAGCGCGGAAGATAGCAACAGTTTGATGGATTCTACCCAAGACGATATTGGTGATAGCCCCATCGACCATGTGTTTACCAATGACATCGATGTTGATAGCGACGATGATTTATTTAGCATCCGGGGTAACGATCTACGTGGCCGCAATTTATTTATCGATGGTAACTACCCATCAGATAATAGCAGAGGTTCTTCACTTGGCGACGCTGCGGTAGATTCTGTAGCTGATAAGGAAAGCGTGCTAGGTAGTATTGAGGATGACCTACCCCTTGATGGCCCATTGGGCGTCAAGAGTAAGGTGAATCCCTCGGAGAGGAGTGGACAGGAACCACCAAATGGCGGCAAACAGGGGAGTAGCAAAGATGCACTAAGCAAGGATACCGTTAAAAAGGACACCGTAAAACAGGATACCGTTAGAAAGGACACCGTAAAACAGGATACCGTTAAAAAGGACACCGTAAAACAGGAT